CTAATCGGGCTGAAGATGTTGAAGCGACTCTGCCTGATTCTGACGAGGAAACTTGTGTGGCTCCTGCACTTCCTGCTCTTAAAGCAACTACTTGTAAAACCAGGACTGAACGAGACTCTGGTCGCCAAAGGTTGAGATCCCCTAAGGACCGTCATAGACCGGAACGTGAAGAAAGTGACCCGGACGAGCTGCTCTTTAAGCAGTGTCCAGGATGGCGTTTTGTTGATAGTGGTGGTTCCGGTGATTGCGGTTTTCGAGTTATTGCCCGGGGTATTGCTGAGTCCCAAGGCAAAGTCCTTACTGCGGCGCAGTTTGCTTCTGAAGCTGCCAAACTCCGCCTCCTGGCTGTAGGACACCTGAGCAAACACTCTAAATCTTTTGAGCCTTTCTGGGCCACTGACCCTGAGGAGCTTCCCGAACATAGAGCTAATCGTGAGCCTGCTCAGTGCTTCAAGAATTACACACGCAAGGCTTCCTGTCGTGAGTTTTGGTTTGATGGGATGCTGGCCGAGGCTTTGTCGGCTCGTTTGGGGACCCCTCTTGTTATTTGGACTTTCAATGAGACTAGTCATCACTGGCAGAGATCGGTTACTGCTCCGTGGTTTGAGGGAGGCCGGGCGCAAAGGGCACTTAAGGCACCTGCTGCTGTTTCTCTTGTTTTGAGATCGGGGCATTATAGAACGCTTTGCCCACCTGAACAAGGCATTGAATGTCCTGAACCTTGGATGTGTGAAACTGAGCGTCGACCTAGATCCTTCTTTCGGGGTGCTGGCCTTCGCTTGCCATCTCAGACCCCTCCGAGGGAGGGTCCTGCTAATGCTATTTGGTGCTCCAAAGGCCCTTCTTGTAAGGCCTCGGAGGGATTGGGGTGTCGTAGTTCCTGCCGTAATTCTAAGGCCTCGGGCTTGAAGCTTCCGTCCTGCGCCCCTAAGCGGCATAAGATGAACTCATGTGAGCTCCTTTCAGTTGCTTCCATGACCCCCGCTAGGTGTAAGACGCACCATGCTACTTGTACACTTGCCCCTGCTCATTCTGAAGTAGGCACTGAGGCCCTTTCCGAAGCTGACCCTGACAGGGCGGTCCATAAACAAAAGGCCCCTATTAGCCGGATATGGACTTGCAGCTTGTGTCTATGTAGGTTCGAGTCTAAGGAACCTGGCCGCAGTTGAGTGACATGAGAACTAGCCATCTTGCTGCGACCCTAGAACCGTTCCAGGGATACAGGAAGGGTGCACTCATGCTACGGTGACCAAAAATGTGCCCATGGAGCTCAGGAAATGGACTTGCCCCTTCTGTGATGGGGGGCTACCAGAGGGGCTGACCCTGCATGCTGTTAAGGTTGCTGTTTCTGAACATTATGCTACCAGGCACAAATCCCGTGACACCTCACTCAAGGCTTTCCACAAAGCTAGAGCCGCTCAGTGTCAGAAAAACCCTGCTCTGCAGCCTGCCCTTAAAGCTGGCAGGGCGCGGCTTGCTCAGGCATTCCGGCGAAAAGCTGAAGATGTTGCAATGCTTGCTCCCAAGGGTTCTGGTCATCAGCTTGTTGTATGGCAGCCTCACTGGCCTACGTGGCCAACCAGGAAGAAAGGGGCGCAGAAGAGAAGGGGCACCTTTGTTACTTGCAGGCTTTGTCACCAAATTGGGGATAGTAGAAAGTGGAGTGCTCCGTGTGTTGGTTTGCTTGGGCCTCGGTGTGGAGCGCAGCGGGCGTTGTGGAAGCGCATCAAGACGTTTCCCGAAAACCTTCAGTCCATCCTTGCTTTGTGGAACAACGACGTTGGTGACGTTGATGATGCTATGAGTCAAGGCGTCGCTACTGCCAAAGCTGCGCAAGCTGGTCATGACGTCGCGTGGTTTGCCCCTGATTGGAAGAGTTGGCCTCTCACCGCTCAGCATAGGTGTCGCCTGCTGACTTGCTGTCGGTGTCTTCGGATCTCCAACGCTGATTGGCTTGATAAGTGTCGAGGTCTGGATGCCACCTGCACCGTTGACATGTGTGAGCGGGGGAAGAAAATTAAAAGGACGAAGCACAATAAGAATCGCCTTTTGCAAGTTTGGGGTTTGACTGAGCCTGAGATTGATAAGCGTTTGCTGCCTGCTGAGAAAGTTGCATCTGCCAGCAAGCGAGCTGAAACCTGTCACCTTCCCTTTTGCAAGTCTGAGGCCGGCAACAAGCTGCCGGGTCGCTGGCCGGTCACCTTATTTTGGCTAGCTAGCGACCTCTTAAATAAGGTGACCGCCGGCCGGTCACCTCATTTGAGAGGTCGGGAAACCTTTAAAAGATGCTCATGCTGACTGCTTAACAGGTGTGAGGGGGGAGGGGCCGGGGTCAATGAAAATGGGGGGTCGGAGAAGGTTTCTGGGGCGAGATGGTGGTTTGTTGGGCGCTCCGGAGGAGGCTCGGGAAGGTGTCGCGCCCGGAAAAGCGCTGGGTATTAAGTGCTGGCCAGCCGGTCGTCTGTACCTCGCCAGCACGCAGGAAGCTCACGCGTCGATTGGCTCATGTTCCTTCCCGTAGCTCGGGCGCGCGTTCTCGTTGGTTCCCGCTACGTCCGGCCCGGTTCCGGTTGCACGCCCGGCGGTTCCCGCAGCGGTTACTGTTTCACCCGGCCCTGGTTCCGGTTACCCGTGGCCCGGTTTCCGTTTCACGGTTCCCTTTACGCCCCGGCCGTTACAGCCTACACCCACCATCCTTACCGACCCTCCTGTATGGCCAGTTTTAGAGACCACGAGGACACCCCCCCAAAAGAAGCCTCATTTCCCGAGATCAGCACAATTTGACCGCATGTTGGGGTTCCCCTCCCTTCGTTCAAGACGAAAGCTTGAATGAGCTTTCGTCGTTATCAAGGGCCAGGGGGTGATTATCTAAAAAAGTACGGGCAGTGGATTGCGGTATTTGTATGTACGCGCTTTCGGTGTTGAGACCACCCGAGGTTCCTAAGTAGTTTTGGTTTGGATTTGTTGTGGATACTTTTGGACGGGAATAGAACTACGGCTCAAGCAAAAACTACATGTGAGCTCCTCCGGAATTTGCAGTTCGCGTGCTTGGCAAAGATTAGCGTTTAGAGGGATGCGGCAAAGCCCCACTCCAAAATCGAGCTCTCCACATTGTACATCCCATGCTGGCCCCCGAAAATTAATCGAGCTGGCAGGCACACTTCTCGAGCGATTCGGCCCTGTCACTGGGCACATATCGGGTTGAGGATCATTGGCGTTGCCTCCGGCTGTTGCAACGCTATGTATGATGATGGGTCCATTGTTAAGCAAAATTGTTTGGAACCTTGAACAACCCCGTTTTTCAAAAGTCCCTTTTGGAACTATAGGTCAATGGTTGAACCTGGTGAAGTTCAAGTGTTAGGGTTCACTGCTACGGATAAAGGATGATGGTCTGGGATTTACGGTTTTTGGGTGTCGTCTGTGTCCGTTTTGGGTTTCATTTTTTTGGGGAGAAGTGCGTGAGGCCATACATTTTCAGGATTCCGAATCCAAGTGAAACGACGTGCCTTAGTGGCGAAAACAACGTTTCAAGGCCCCACACGAAATCAATTTCGGAATTAACGCGCTGTTCCCAGATGTTGCAAAAACATTTCTGTTTGAAAGTATGTTGTCGACACATGCAATAAGACAAACCCATACTTCCACCATTCAATATGGCCAGACCATGTTTCTGGGTGCCCTGAGATAGACTGTTGCGTCATGCGTATGTGCAATATGGTCTTGTGAGCTGATTTCAGTGATCATGTGATGGTCCCGCATATGAACATCGGACATGCAAACTCAGGTGAATGTCCAATCAGGACTACCATGTGTTTGGGGACTCTTTGGCTTTCTCTCACCTGAGAACTCATATGGTTGCCCCCCCTAGGCATGTTATGCTTCCTAGGATGGGTGGGGGTGCCCCCTCTAGATCGGTTAGACATACGGTGTATTTGTTAAAGCAGCTGGGGCGCATTCACGAGCATGAACTTTGTCTGCCAAGTCGTAGGCAGGGTTGGCTTGACAGATTGATATACCTTTTTGTTTGCAAGTGTTGAAGCATGAAGCCTTGGGCCGCGTAGGGCTGTCACCCCCGTGCTTCTCCAGGACTACTAACCTTTGGGGCTATCTGGGTGGCTGCCGCGGCCGGTATCAGCGCGCCATGGAACTACACCATGATCCGCACCCTGCCATGCATCAAGCAACATGCAAACACCATCCACACTTTTGCGTCGCTACTCATAGACTTGTTGCGATGTGCCTTCGTTCCACACATACAACTTGAGGTGATTCCGAAGCAAAAGCAGTGTGTTTTATTGGGTTCCCTGGGTGTTTCTTTGTTTCAATAGAATGAGGAGTGGAGCGAGCTTGAATAAGAATCTATGATTATTGGGTGTTTGTTTTTGCTGCTTTGTGCTGGTCAGCATCATCTCCATGATGAGAACAGCCGATCTGGCAACAGGTTTCTTCATCGGCTGCGCTGGTGCCACGCCGCTTAGCACAAAGGGTTTGTTTTGGGCGTGGGGCGATTATGGTTTCAGAGGGTTTTGGGCAAAAAAACGCCCCAAATTTTGGGGATGTACCTGGGTTGAGGCTATTAATTACGGAGGCATGCCATGCTGAGCATGGGGGACTGATGCGCGCCAGCAATTCAGGTCACGACCGCGTTTTTGCTCAACCCTTAGTTGCTTAGGAAGTTGGAGGCGAGGTTAGACGGCTCACCCTTGTCGTTTTCAGTGTTCGGAGGCATCGTCATTGAGGTAGGTGTTTGCGTGTCGGGAATGAGGGTTTAGCCCAAAATGCACACTGTTTGAGAGTTTGTGCTGAGCGCTGTAAATCCATTGTTAGCATTCTCTTTGCCATTTCTTTGTACGAGCATAGAAAGCTTTCGGAAGTGTTCCGCATCCGGCGTGAAGTTTTGAACCATTTACATGTATCCCCCTGCGCTCAAGTCCCAAAAACAAAACGTCAGCACAATGCAAATGTGGAGGTTCGTGACCAACCAGTTCTGGTGCTCTCTGATGTTTGCTCCCAATGTGATTGGCACTGCGAACGCCACGGCGGCCGGATGGGGCAACCTTGGTGGTGGTGTCACTTTGCTTCAGTTGCTTTCTGGGTTGAACATACGGTTTTAGGGTTTGGGCTTGAGGGTTTAGGGTTACCTGAAAAAGCAGGTCGCCTCGTGTGTATGCGGGCGCTGTTTGGTTCAGGAAACACTGTCAGGTTGAGGGTTCTGCATGCAATTCGTCAGGAAGTGGTTGGGTGATTATTACAGTTGTGTGGGGGTTTGCATAAACTGGCAACGCCAATTCTGGACCCCTAATACATTATATCCTTTCATAGAAGTTCACAGAAGAGGCACCAATTTTCGGAAGCCCCCATATACTGGGGTGTCATCAGTACACGGATGCTTGCCTGATCTTTGCTTCCATTTTTTGGATCATTTGGTTTGCGCGGGTGCCCTTCAGGGCACTGCAAAGGTGCATGCAAACTTGTTTCAAGGGCACTGTATCTACATTCATGTCAAGCCGGGGCCGCCAGGCACGTATTTTTGCGTCGCCGAAAGCATGCAAGCGTTTGCAAAGCAAGAAACTTGAAAGGGAGAGACAGTGGAAAACCGTAATTCTTTGAAATCAGCATGGCTGAAAGTTGAACGTGAGATTACCTCGTCTTTCTGCTACGATGCCCGTGCATTTGGAAAATATGGAAATTTGTGCAGCAGAGCTTCGGACTACAGGAAACTCAGGAAACTTTAATTTCTCATGTGAGCAAATTTTATTTTCAGCAAATGCATGCCTGTTATTTGCATGATGAGCATTCGGACTTGCAACAAAAACTTTTTTTGTTAGCTTGATGATGAACAAAAAATTCAACGCCCGATTTCAGGATGCACTAAGTAGTGCGCAGAAGCAATTGTGTGGACAGTGAAAGAACTTCCCGTCCCACAGGGCGCACTGAGACAATCCACGTGGTACGCCTGGGCCAAATCCCCGAACTAGTGCATTTTTTTGCAGACGCTTTGGTCATGTTATTTTCCACTTCAACTTTGAGTACATGAACTGGCAGATAAAGGTGATGATCACCGGGATAAATTTTTTAGTTTGCATCTAGCGGCTCCAAAGTTTCAAGCGCGTCAGGATTGGCGTGTTGTGGGGTGCATGCGAAAACGATTCAAATACCGGTATCAATTCTCCAGCAGTTCGTTCCCTCAGCTACACACTGATCATCGAAAAAGGAGATGATAGCACGCTGCTGGCTTTGTCTGGCCCTCTTTTGGGCGGCTGTGGAATTTCGACCACGGGTTGGAAGTCAGCTGATGGTGTCATTAAAAATTGTGTTCATGTCACAAGTCTCTTGCGAAATGGATCAGTGCCACCGGTTTTTCACCAAAAAAGGAGCGTGGGAACTTCAGTCATCTTGATCGCGATCGCTTTTCTCGTGCGCCAGGGTGCTTTGCAGGCTGGTTTGACGCAATGAGTTTCTTGAGTATGGTAACCTCCCCACCTTAAACCTCGAGTCTTGGTTCCTCACGTTCGTGTGGCGCAGGCCGGCGCCTGATACGACTGAGACGAGTTTTGAAGACGTACTCGCTGATCATCACTATCTTGCGCAAGATAGCCCTTAGTGTGCTGTGGGCGACTGGAATTGGACCCCTGATGAACATGTGTGACGCCAAGGGATGAGTTAAACGCTTGTGTTGCGCTTGATGGGGCAGGTGACCGTAGACCCACCCACAGGGAAGGAAGAACCATAGATTACCTTGTTGCTCAGAACCTGTGTGCGGAAGACCCCAGCCTCGATGATGAAATTTATGGTGAACATTTTTTCTTTTCGCATCAAATTCTAAATTGATCAGCCCCTCAGTAGCCGGCAAATGCTGTGCCCCACCGTGCAATACGCCGTTCCTCAACAAATGTCCAGTCAAGACTGGAAAATAACTGTGGCACAAGCCTGGGGAAAAGAGGTCATCGCTGTTAGCACCGCAGAGCAGGAATGGAAAGACTTCCGCTCACACAGTGAAGAAGCGTGTCGTGTGGCCAGTCAAAGCAGTGGATGTTTTCGTCGTCCCCCTGTTCATAGGCCTAAGGGTTCCTTCCCTTTCTTTGTTCAAGCTTTTGATTCCCGCAAGCATCCCATGCGCCAAGTATTTGCCTCGCGCAGGATAGCAAAATTCTGTGGCAGGGTACGGGATCTGTGTAGGCTCCTTGCCCTGGATAAGGATACCCGCACCATTATGACCAAGCTTGTCACTTCCTGGCCCCGTGCTGTTCCCCGTGACTGTCCCTGGCCCAGAGTTGAAGAGCACACACGCAGAGTCCTGGACGAGTATGCGCAAGCTGAAACAAGCAGGGCCCTGCAGGCTTGGCGGGTTGAAATGGCCAAATGTGGCCGCCGAGCCACGCGGTGGCTTCAAGAAAATCACATCGCTCCCACGCCCTCTCTTTGGATTGAAACTGAGCGCGGTGATATCCCTGATGGCAAGCAAAAAGTTTTCAATGGTTCTAAGCTCGGATATGTAAGCAATTGCGTTGGGGGAAATTTCAAGGCGTTACCGGAGTAGACCCCCGGTTCAAGAGCCAAACCAAGCCGTAGATGCTTGGGCTCAGGCTGTTGGACCCGCGCCCGAGCTCGTATGGCAGCAGCTTTCTGGCGAAGCTGTAGCCGCCAACATGGCTGGCAGCGGCGCGGGGCCATGTGGGTGGTCGGGCAGTGAAGCTGCTGCCATGCCCTTTCCTGCCTGGAATGCACTTGCTGCTTTCGTGCACCGCTGGTTGCAGCGCGGGAGCTCCCTGCTGTCTTTGCGCACATGAGACAGGTGCACGTGCCAAAACAGGGTGCCCTTGTTCAAAAAGGCTGTGCCGATGTCGCCAAACTCAGACCCATCGTGGTGCAGAGCATTGTGTGGAGGATCATCTGTTCGGCCCTCATAAGGCGCCAAGCTACCCGTCAGTGGGTTCTTCAATGTGTGCTTAACACTTGTTATGGTGGACTCAAAGGGCAGGACGCCCTCCAAGCCATCATGTCCTTGGCTGAGCATCATTCCGAAGGCAAAGGTCCTGTAGTTTCATTAGACCTCGAGAAGGCTTTTGATGCCGTGGATCCTGCCTTTGCCTTGGCCGTTCTCAGACGTGCCAGCGTCCCGAATCAGTGGATTTCACTTGTCCGCAAGATTTGGATGCAACAAGCGCGATGGCTCCAGTATGCTGGACACACACAGACACACGAGCAGCCTGCAGTTGTGTCGCGCAGCATACTTCAAGGATATGCCTTCAGTCCCTTAGCGCTCATACTCCGTTTGGCCGCCCCTGTTAAGGATATCGAGAGTCATGGGGCTGTGAGCGGCCTGCTGCAGTTCAACTTTGTGGATGACAAAGCTGCCTCCTGTCGTTCTGCCGCTCAGGCAAACCGCTATGTGCAGAGATGGACCAGATGGCTTGCCACTGTCGGCCTGCTTGAAATGGGAAGATGCCAATCTTAGCCATTGACAGGTACCGCAACGAGGTTTGTAGGCTCGGCTTCAGCCTTCGCAGCCTTAAAGATGTCATCCGTGTGTTTTGCGTGGACCTCACTGCCCAGATCCGTGACGTTGTAAGGCCCACTGCTGACAAGCGTTCCCATGAGGGCCAAGCAATTGCAGCGAAGCTTTGTCGTATGCCGGCATCCCTGGCTGTTAAGCGTAAGCTTTGGTCATCCCGTGTCTTGGGAAAGATTGCTTGTGGACGAGGTCTCCATTTGCCTCATGCTGATGAGGTGTCTGATTTCTCCGCTGTGTACAAACGGATCACCCGTAAGCCCCGCCTTGCCTCCCCTTGGCTCATCTCTCTGCTTGAAAGGCCCAGTCAAAGCTACGAGTTCCGAGCTCGTATGCAGGCCACAAAGGCACTCTGCTGCCAGGCTGCAACGACCCATGATATGTGGCAGGGTGAAGTCCGCCGAGGCAGTCTTGCATCCCACTCTGGGTGGTGTGCCCACTGGGTGGTGTGCCCTTTGCATGCCAGAGGCCTTATTGAAAATTAGTGGAGTGCTGAAGAACCTTGGGTCTGGTTGCGCTCGGAATGCGGCCGTTTAGATTGGAGAAGGCCCCCTAAGCCCGTGTCTGAGCATTGCCTTCGCGGATCTTGGCCTTCCTTAATCAAGATCGGCACGAGCTCTGAGGCTTCCTTTGGCCAAGCTACTGTGAGCGCACAGTTAAACGCGCGTCGGAGGCTTTCCGACTCTCTGTGCAGCGTTTCCGAGGCATCCTTACGGGTGCTACGTGTTCAATGGCTATGCAAATAGCCATGCGCCATCTTGATGTGGGCCGCTGCTGTTGGTGCAGTTCAGATGTCCCGCCCAGTTGGCATCACCTTGCCGGGCAATATCCCTACTTTGCACCCAGTAGGCCCCCGTGCCCGAACCCTAATGACTTCTTGCAATCCCGCTTCGGCTTGAAGCAGGGCATTTTGGGAGACGGCAAGCATGCAGGCAGTACAGCCGCAGTATATTAGTTGGAGCTGGTGGCTAGCTGCCATTGGTCCGAAGGCTTTTCGCACCTTTTCCAACAACGACTCTGGAGATGCAGCCAGGATTTTGGCATGTGCGTACGGAGAAAAAGCACGCAAGGCCAGAAGCTGTTGCTGCCGGAAGCCTCGTTGTAGAACTTGGGAGGCGCCCTTGACGTTTTCTACCGTTTCACTCAAATGCGCGCCTTGACCGTTTTTCTACCATTTCACTCAAGTGCGCAAGTTCTGTGCCGCTACTTCGCAGAGGTCCTGTTGACGCTTTAGAAGGCCTTGCCAACCTGCTTGAGAAAGGAAAAACTAAATTCACGGCCACCAGTGAAGCCGTATCCAAACGAACAAATCGTGAAGGATCTGTTTGACATGCTTTACGGGCGTCCAGCAAGCAGTGCAGGAGTTGCGTTTATTGTGGTCCGTAAGCACCCGCGCAGGAAGCTTTCATACGAAAGCGCCGATAATCATCTTGGCAACATGACAGTGGCTACACCTTCCTCGAAGGTATCCGAGCAGCGCGATCAAAGCGAGTTTGGTGCCTGGTTCATACATGTCGAGAGGGCGGACGATGCTGCAGAGATAGTCGCTCTGATCGC